TGGTATAATAAAAAAAATATATGGTTGGACAAAAAAACTGAATCCAAATAACCGAACCAAATCTAATCCAAAAAGTAGTACAAATTTTTAACCAAAATTGGTTAGATATCCAAACGGATTCAAAATTTTGGTATTTAGATTACCAAAAACTGAATCGAAATATTTCAGGTATCCAAGTGCTCGAACCAGATTTATATACCTAAATATATTAATATATTTTTTAAAATGTTCCAAAATACTTAGAAATATATAAAACAGTTAAATGCATATTTAAAAAATAGCTAAACGATACTCCAAATACCAAAAATATTTAAAATATTTTTTTTATTTTTTTCAAAATATTTATGATAAAGCAATTTTATGTTAAGTTTAAGTATTTTGGCATTCATTTTTCAAATTTATATGTTATATATTATTTTTTACTTTTAGATTTTGAAAATTTTAAAGTATATATGATTTTCAATCTTTTTTATAAAAAAAATAAATGGATTATCCGAAACTAAACCCAATCTGAACCTGCAAAAATTCGAACCAAACCGCAAAGATCTAAACCAAACAAAATCTAACCGAACCAAATGGTTTCCAAATGGCTATCTCTAATCAAATATAAAAAAATTATGATAGCAAAATATATATTTAAATACAACATATTTTTAAAAAGCTCACTCCGCGCATGGCGCGGGTTATCATCTAGTTTATATATATAACCGCCTCCAGGCTTTTCCTTCTGAAACGCACTTATCTCGTTTTCTCTCTTCTCTTCGCAATAAATCTAAATAGTATTTCCAAAAGCATATAGTATACACCAACGAACGAGCATGGTGAAGTTTGATTACCAGCAGGTCTCTCTCTCACAATCTCTTCTGATCATTGATTACTTTTCTTACAACCTTTTTCTTTTCTTTTGTTTACTACTCTATCTACACAGGAATACATAAGAAATTCGAGAGACGTTGAGTTGTTCGCTTGCAGATGGATCCCTTCTTCTTCTCCTCCCAAAGCTCTCATCTTCCTCTGCCATGGTAACCACCTTCTTCTCCTTTTGTTCATCTAATATTTTGTTTTATGTTCATCAACTACCCTAATTTATAAGTTTTTAACTACTTAAAATCCCAAATAAAAGAAGAATTGAATCAATGTGCTGCAGGCTACGTGATGGAGTGCAGTGACTTCATGAGAGGTATTTAATTATCATCCTTTAATGCTCCTCCTCTCTCCACAGTTTATCCGATAACAAAACCAAAAACAAACAAAGAAATAATCTTATTCGATTATACCATTAAACTCAAACGTGGATATACATATACTCATTTGCATGGTCTGATGAATAAGAGCTACTCTCTGTAGAATAACTATATGATCTTTAGTCCAAGTGTTTGTTTGTTTGTTTGCTTGATATGTTGAGTGTTTGTTACACCGACATGCATGCAGATCGGATTTATATAAACAATAAATTAATTACCAGCGTTTTGTGTGATAAGCCATGATTTTCCTTTTCCCTTAGACTATCCGCAATAAGAGAATTTTTAGAGAAATATTAATTTTATAATCAATGGGTTCTAAAAATTCTTATGTAAGGATTAATCCTTACACTATTCGCAGTCTCCACTGCCACGTGGCGATCCGTGAGTGGTCAGTTTTTTTTTTAAAAGAAAAAATCTGAAATATCGTTTTGTAATCCGAAATACTTCTTTTTTTATTTCTAAGAATTCCCCCAAAGATCTGCCATTGCGGATGCTCTTAAATTTAAACTTGTATGTAGCATCTACCATATATTTATTGCAGATCCGATCTCTAACGGGGATCTTTTCTTGTTACTTTTTTTTTTAATTTTGAAAGGTAGTATTATTGGGAAAAGAATTACAAAAAAAAAAATGCTTCTGTCGTATAAAGTGGACGATAATGACCTCATTTTGTAAGCAACAAACAGCAAAGAAATTTATAACAAAAGCTGTTGTTAGTTGCAGAAGTATGACCAATAACACCTTTGTCTGCTTCGTACATATGATTTGTCTTTGTTATTCATCTACTGAAATCAATAGGAAAGTGTGTATTGTATTGATAGCAAAGTAGCGTATATATACAAGGTATCGATCCTAATCCTAAGGAGATTTACATATGATGGATAATGACAATATATAAGTTAGCTTTATCTCTAAGTATCGTCCTTATCTCTATACCCCCCCTCAAGTTGGCGATGAGATGTCTTGAATGCCTAACTTGGACAGGAGGTAGGTGAAAGTAGTAGATGGTAGAGACTTTGTTAGAAGATCCGTAGGTTGCTCCGTAGTAGAAATGTGCTCCGTAGTAATGAGTTTGTCTTGAACAGCGTCGCGAACTTGATGGCAGTCGTTCTCTATGTGTTTAGTTCGTTCGTGGAAGACAGGGTTAGCTGCAATGTAGATAGCTGATTGACTGTCACAGAACATCCTCATCGGTTCCTTATGTTCCACGCCAAATGAGGCCAGAATGCGCTTCATCCACTTGAGTTTGCGCAAAGTATACGCCATTGCCCGATATTCAGCCTCTGCTGAAGATGCTGAGACCGTGTTTTGTTTCTTTGTCTTCCAAGACACTGGAGATGTACCAAGGAGGACAATATAGGAGCTTAAAGAACGTCGGGTAAGAGGACAGGAGCTCCAATCTGAGTCGCAGTACGCCGTGACTCGGAGATCAGAGTCTGAACGTAACAGTACTCCTTGTGAGGGACAACCTTTGAGATAGCGAATAACCCGTTGAGCAGCTTCCCAATGTGCCTGTTGCGGTGTCTTCATAAATTGAGATAGGATATGAACAGCATAACAGAGTTCTGGACGCGTAAATGTGAGGTAGATTAAGCGCCCGATGAGGCGCCTATATGGGGCAGGATCGGGTAAAGGAGGACTGTCGGAAAGAGCTAACTTGTGGTTGAGCTCAATCGGGACCGGAGAAGGCTTGCAGCCGAGTAAACCAGCATCTGCTATAATGTCAAGAGCATATTTTCTTTGTGAGATAAAAATACCTTCTCTGTTGCGAGCAATCTCAATGCCAAGAAAATATTTCAATTTTCCAAGGTCTTTCATATGGAAACATTGGCTGAGATAGCTTTTGAACTTGTGAAGAGTGGAGAGATCGTTGCTTGCTATGATGAAATCATCGACATATATCAGAATGTGGAGACTGATTTTCCCTCGAATATAGGAGAAGTGAGAGTAGTCTGGTTTACTCTGTAGAAAGCCGTATTGTTTAAGTGCATTGCTTAGTTTTGAGAACCAGCAACGAGGAGACTGCTTCAGCCCGTAGATAGATTTCCGTAGACGAGCAACCTTAGTCGGATCAGAACCTTGAAAACCTGGTGGAAGTTTCATATAGACTTCTTCTTCCAAATCTCCATGTAGAAAAGCATTGTGTACATCCATTTGGTGTACTTCCCACTGTTTTGCTGCAGCTACTTCGAGAAGAACACGTACTGTAGAGGGTTTGGCCACAGGAGCGAATGTATCGGAGTAGTCAAGGCCTTCACGTTGACGGTTTCCAAGTGCAACAAGTCGAGACTTGTTTCGAAAAGGTTTACCATTCGAGTGATATTTAATTTTGTAAACCCACTTGCTTCCAATGACTTTCTTTCCTGGAGGCAAGGTAGTAACATCCCAAGTGCCATTGGCTATATGAGCAGAGTGTTCGTCAACCATAGAGTCTCGCCAAGCCTCATGTTGTACTGCCTCATTATAATTCTTAGGTTCAACAGCAGTAGTGACAGCTGCAATAAACGCCTTGTGGCTCGAAGAGAAAGCAGCGTCAGATACATAATTTGCAATGGGATACGATGTGTTACCTGGAACCGAAGCAGAGGAGCCTAGAGAGGATTCGGGAGGAGCGAGAGGAGTGTGTATATTATCCAGGTGAACAGTGTTGGTAACGTAGTTCTTCAGTAGGATTGATGGTTGGCGTTGACGATGACCGCGTCCTAATAGTTCAGGAAGGCCAGGAGATGGTGGTGATTCGATGTTAGTTGTAGTCGGAGATGACTCCGAAGGTGGCGAAGAAGGTGCAGGCGGAGACGAAACTTCAGGGACAGGGATAGCGGCTGAAGTTTTATCAACGCTTGATGACGGTGTAGTAGGAGGAGAAGTTGGAGGATTGTCGAATGACGGTGTAGTAGTGGGAGTTTCCTGACTAGTCGGATTTGATGGAGAAGTAGATGGTGAAGGTTCAGTGACGGTTAAAGGGACTGAGATTGTGTCTGTAAAATCATCGAATATAGCAGTTGGAGGTGTGAGTAGGAGGTTTGGTTGTTGATCATTGACGCCGGGAAACTGATCTTCGAAGAAGATAACGTCACGACTTATAAAAAATTCGTTGCTCTCAATATCGTAGACGTTCCAGGCTTTCTTGCCGTAGGGGTAACCAACGAATAGACACTTGCGACTTCGAGGAGAGAATTTATCTTTGTATCTAGGTCGTTTCTGTGCAAAACAGAGACACCCAAAGACCCGTAGTGTGTCGTATGTAGGAGGAGATCCATGGAGTAGTTCATACGGAGTTTTGCCGTCGAGAATCCGTGATGGTGTACGATTTATCAGATGAGCAGCTGTGAGTATACTCTGGCCCCAGAAAGTAACAGGTAGGTTAGCTTGGAACAGACACGCTCGAGCTACGTTGAGGATGTGACGATGCTTGCGCTCAACGCGTCCGTTCTGCTGAGGTGTATCGACTGAGGAAGTCTGATGAATGATGCCTTGCTGCCGAAAAAAGGATTTAAGTTTCATAAACTCTGTCCCGTTGTCGGTACGAAATGTCTTGACTGGTAAACCAAATTGGCGAACAGTCATGGCACAAAAATTCTGTAGCAGTGTAGAGACCTCAGACTTTTCGAGCATGAGATGAATCCATACTGCTCTAGAGTAATCGTCGACAATGGTTAAAAAATATACTGCTCCACAGGAAGCTGGAGTTCTATAAGGACCCCATACATCGCAATGAACTAATGCAAAAGGTTGAACTGCTTTATTAGAACTGTCATGAAACACTTCACGTGTTTGTTTAGATAAAAAACAAATATCACACGGCTTGGTGTGATCAAAATCCAAAACAACATTGTCGGAAATAGGTAAAGTAGATAAAACACTATGAGAGGGATGTCCAAATCGTCGATGCCAAAGTGCTGAAGAAGAAGTTTTGTCTTTCCCGGCTTTATTGGCTCGTGCGACTGTTACACCCGTGAAATAATACACACCACCTCGCTCTTCACCGGCTCCAATCAGGGTCCTCGTGAAACGGTCCTGTAAAACACATAGAGTATCAGTAAAGATTGCAACACAACCAGTCTGCCGGAGAAGTTTAGAGACTGAGATCAATGTGCAGTTAAAATTGGGAACATATAACACATCAAGGAGATAGCATGATGCGTTTAAGTATAAGGTGCCCGATTTAGTTGCTTGAGAATGACGACCATCTGGAAAAGTAACAGAGGAAGATACAATGTCGTGGACGTCGTGTAATAGTGTTATGTCACCGGTCATGTGATGGGATGCCCCTGTGTCAATTATAACATCAGTTAAGAGAGGTTTACCCGTCATACGATCAGTTGAGAGTTGAGATTGTTGATTCTGCAAAAGCTTGATTAATGCATTAATCTGGTCTGGAGAAGCAATGACGTCGGAAGATGAAGTCGAAGATGCAGCTCGAGAAACATTAGCCCGACCTCTACCACGGCTATTGCTTCTTCCTCCTCGGCCGCGTTGAGACTGTCCAGATGATTTTTGTTGTTCATTGAACCAATCTGGATATCCATGTAGCAGAAAGCATTCTGAAGCTTCATGGCCCTTCCGGTTGCAGTGTGTACAAAAGCGGTTAGGATCACGGCTTCGAGGTGTTGCAGACGAGGCAGAAGGTGAGAGATCTGTTTTTACAGTAAAGCCGAGTACGTCTTGTTTGACTTCAGATGTACGCATAGTTAGTAGATGCTGCTCCGCACGGATCACTCGAGAATAAGCTAAGTTGAGATCCGGTAATGGCTCCTCATCAATTATCTGAGATCTGATGGAGCTAAACCGTGAATCATCAAGGCCAAACAGAAATTTGTGCACCTTAGCATCTTCGCGTTCTTTGTCAATATGCGATGAGGCTTCACAAGTGCATGAGTAAGGAGAAGAAAATTTTTGTAGTTCTTCCCATAATTTAGAAAGCCGTCCATAATAATTGAGAACACTATCACCGTCTTGTTTGCAGTTGGTGATCTCATTCTCCAGTAAGTGTTTACGGACACTGTTTTTCACCGAGAAACGTCGCTTAAGTGATTCCCAAAGCTGGGAGGCGTCAGGAACGTGACTCACAGAAGATCGAACAGTAGGGTCAATAGAAGTACGGATCCAACCGACTATCATAGAGTTGGCTGCGATCCATCGAGCAAGATCAGGGTTTGTGGATGGTTTAGGAATTGTGCCATCAATAAACCCAATCTTTTGTTTTGCTTGAAGAGAGTTCCAGAACTCGGTTGCCCATTCAGAATAATTATCACCTTTAAGAACCACTGGTGTGATTAATGTACCAGGATTAAAAGAGGGATGTAGAGAGTAAGGACTATCCGATGGAATAGTTGTAGGAGTAGCAGAAGTAGTAGACGCCGACGTATCGGTCGTTGCAGAGGAAGTAGTAGAAGCCATGAAAGTTGATTAACAATCACGTGGATTTTTAGAAGAGAATAGATGCGGAAAAAAAAAATTAGGTCAAAGATCGTTTAAGCTCTGATACCATGAAATCAATAGGAAAGTGTGTATTGTATTGATAGCAAAGTAGCGTATATATACAAGGTATCGGATCCTAATCCTAAGGAGATTTACATATGATGGATAATGACAATATATAAGTTAGCTTTATCTCTAAGTATCGTCCTTATCTCTATATCTACATTCTCCACGTGTTTCTTCGACCCCAAATTGACATCTAATATAGTATTATTTTATCTCTCAATTTTTGGGAAACGTTAGCTCTATCCTCCTATCTTCAAAAAAATGTTCGTTTTTCTTTTGCTTTGCTCTAATCTATCTAGCTGCCGGTGTGACTGTGACCGAGTGTTATGGAGGTACTAAAAAAATAATGATAGTATTAATCGGTAAGAGGTTATGGAGGGGTCATGGACCATGGTCATGGTGTTTCTTATTGTCTCCAATAATGATCAACTTGTTCGTGTACCTAACAATAAAAGTAATAAGTTGGGGGCAAGAAACAAATCTGAAAGAATATAATAGTCCCCACGGATCTAAATATTCACTTCCGTTTCTCTCAGCCTTTGCACAACGAGAAACTCGTGACCAGCCTTAATTGAATGTCGTCGTCTTTGACAACTAATCATGTTTCTTGAATATCTGCCTCATTAAATTTTTATTTACAAAATATTATCATTACTTCTCTCTGCCTACATAGAGGTGTGAGCAGCCATTGCTTTGCCGTCTACTGTTGAGATAAAGACACACATTAATCACTATGGTTTATAATAAACTATATATAAATGAAGAATAAAACAAGAAGTAAGTATGTTAGATTCGAGTTTGATTTTATTATGAACTTCAAACTTAAAATTAATTGGTCATTAGTAGATTGGTTCTACTTCTAACCCTTTATATATTATTTAAGGTCTCATTGAATTTTCGATGTGAAATATATTATCCATTATATCTTTTTTCGAGATGATGATTTTTATTGGTCAGTAATCCTGCAACTTGACATTCATACTCGGTCGATTGAGTCATGTACGACAATTATACATAATCGGAAAGTTAAACATGATCTATATATCTGCCTGAAAGGATTAGTTAATTAATTAAGGTTTTAGGATTTTTAAGATCTGAATTTTGATACTATGTTAGATTTAGATTTCTTATGATTTAAAACTAATTGGTAAGAAATAGATGAAACCTTTCATATATTAATTGGTAATTTGAATTTCGGATGTCTGATATGATGTGTGATATATTATCCCTAATAAGGTAGATATGAATCTAATTCTCTTTAAAAGGTTGGCCAGTGATAAAATTGTTTGTTTGATTTAGAATGCGGGATAAGGCTGGCTTCAGCAGGATATGCGGTATTTGGAATGGACTACGAAGGTCATGGTCGGTCCAAAGGAGCTCGTTGTTACATCAAGAAGTTCAGTAACATAGTAAACGACTGCTATCATTATTACACCTCAATCTCTGGTACCTGAAAAAATAACATATTCTTGCATAATCTCTAGTACCAATCTCTATCCATATAATTAACTAGCTATTAACACTTGATTATTGGGTGCTTAAAGCGCAAGAAGAATACAAAGAAAAAGGCAGATTCTTGTATGGAGAATCCATGGGAGGTGCGGTTGCTTTGCTGCTACACAAGAAAGATCCTTCTTTCTGGAATGGTGCCCTTCTCGTCGCTCCAATGTGTAAGGTGAGGTGTCACGTTTCTTCTACTCTTAATCATCAATCTTTACTGACTTTATAAACAAATCCCCTTAATTATAAACAAGGCTTCTTAATCATCAATCTTTACTTACTTTATAAACAAATCCCCTTAATTATATAAACAAGGCTTGTTAGCACTTTACGTGGTAATTAGTGTGTGTTTCTGTGAGCAGATATCAGAGAAGGTGAAACCACATCCAGTAGTGATTAATCTACTAACAAGAGTGGAGGAGATTATACCAAAGTGGAAGATCGTGCCCACGAAAGATGTTATCGATGCTGCCTTCAAAGACCCGATCAAACGCGAAGAGGTAAACTCACTTGAGACCATATCTATATATGTACTAATTAAAACTAGGTTCCTAAAATGCAGATAAGGAACAACAAGCTGATATATCAAGACAAACCAAGACTCAAAACAGCACTTGAGATGCTTCGAACAAGCATGAACCTCGAAGACAGTCTCCACGAGATCACATTACCCTTCCTTGTTCTTCACGGTGAAGCAGACATATTGACCGATCCTGAGATTAGCAAAGCTCTGTTCGAGAAAGCAAGCTCACGTGACAAAACCATTAAACTTTATCCAGGGATGTGGCATGGGTTGACTTCTGGTGAGCCTGACGCTAACGTTGACCTCGTTTTTTCTGACATCATTACTTGGCTTGATGATCGCACTGGCGAATCTGCTTCACTCACTGTCACTCCGGTCCGAAATCTTACCGCAAATGTTCAAAAAGTCGTGGAAGGCGCTTGTACCGATAAAGGGAAACCTAAAAGGCAGCATGCTAGTCTGCTTTGTGGGTTAAACGGTGGTGGTCGCCGTTTGGTCCATTGATCTTCTATGTAATAATAAACTAAATAGAGAATAATCTGTTTCATCTTATTCATTTTATATTAACTAGGGATTTTCCCGGGCTACGCCCGGGTTGTGGACTAATATTTTTTATTTAATTTATGTTACACATATATATTTAACTATGATATATAAATATGAATTATCAATAATATTAAAAAAATAAACATTTTCCAAATTTATATATGCATGTGCATTCGTGTAATGGTTCGGCTTGGTTTATTTTGGTTTCTGACTTTCGTTCTAGAATATAGGATCCATTAAGTTTTTAGAAAATTAGCTTTGATTTTGGTTCAGTTATTTCGCTTTTCGATTCAGTATGGATAACATAATTAGTACCGACTAATATCCTAAATAAATTGGATCTAATTCAGTTCCGATTTGATTTCGCTTATTCATTTTATTCAAGTTAAAGGTTGAAAAGGATTTCAGATTAAATATCGATTTTCGGGTTTTGAATAAAAAATTGGATAACTTCAAATATTTTGGACAAAAATAGTTGGGTAATCCGGTTTATAAATAGTATTTTTTAAAAAAAAAATAATAATAAATATAAATATAGTTAATATGTATAATATATAAACTACATTATAAAAACTGGGGTGTTCATTAGATTATCAGCTTCGGTTCGATTTAATTTTTTGGTTCTAAAATTATATGATTCAGCTCTTTAATTCAGTTTTTCTGTTTCAGATAAATGTTTCTATGTCTATCTATGACGGTGAACCACAACATGAGATGAATACATAATTAATTAAAAATTTGTTATGCTCTAATTATTTTTTTTAGAAAAACATGTGCCTTCGATGCCACGAAAACATGTGTGCCCACTGTACAGTAGACTTTGGTCTATATACACTCGGTCGGTACGTCACATATACTATAGTTTGATTGTTACTTTGCATTTCTTAAAGAATTGGTCGGTGGGTCATATATACTATGATTTGATTGTTACTTTGCGTTTCTTAAAAATGTGCATATCAATTTGTTTGTGTAATATCCGTGGTCTAAATTGGAAATTACATCATTTTTCTAGTGATTTGCATCACATACATGATATTTGAATGACTACGATATTGAACTCCGCTATTACTTTATCTTTCTTGTTTTTAATGCAAAACAATAGAAACTGTCATTGAAACCGATTTACAACATGTTTGTTTTGTTAACTTAACATGTGTAATAGTTGAAGCCAGTTATAGGTCATATTAGTCTTTCATATCAGCAAAGGTTTTATGTTTTTGGTAGCAGCTTAAATTAGCAACATCCGCTTTTTAAACCCAAGGCCTAAACCCATACAGCAAACCATTAGTCATTGATCACGCTTGCTCACTACACAACGACGGTGACCGTTCACCCACTCTTGTTATTCTTTCTAGTTGCTGCTGTTGCAAAGCCTTCAACATATATGCTCCTCTTAGCGTACATGGTGAAGTATGATCATTTAATTTACCAATAATATTTATTGTTAGTTGTTACATTAATATAAATTTAACTATTTTTTTCCCTGAGCTAGATGTAATTTATATGCAAAACGTGACTACTACATACAACGGCATACAACATTGCTGTATACATTCCCGAGGAATCTGATATACTATTCTGCCTATAGTTAAAGTAAAGGAGCTGACCGCAAAACCCGTCAAGAACCTCCAGATTCTCTACTATAGTCAAAGTAGGACTGAGAGGTTACAATTGATTCACATGTTCAAAACCCTCGAGACAGAACTTCTGACCAAGACTGGGACCCTAATTCACTGAACGACGGCGGGAATGTCTCAGCGGAGCAAATGAGAACGCTGATGCTGTCCTGTTGAGTCCGTCCGCTGAACCAGTGCCTGTTGTTTTGAATCACATTAATCAGACTGGTATATATCCCAAATCAGCAAGGAATGATATTCTCAACCGCTCTCAGTGCCTTTTCTGCATATAGAGACGAAAATATCAGGTTATTTCCTTTCAAAATGTCATTTCGTTAATGCAAATAAGTTCATTCGTTTTACCTGAGCTTTCATGGACGGGAAGACATTCCAAAACCTTAAGGTTTCATCTCCTGCTCCGTTTTCATTCGTTTTTCCATCAGGTGATACCGCAAGGAACATAAATCGGAGTTCCTTTGCAATCTGAACCAAAGAAAGAGGCAGGTTCAGAAACCACATAGTCTAAATGATGCCGAGTAATATACAGAGCCAAAGGTCAGCAAGTTTATGACTTTGGAGATGGTTAGGTATTTCCAGTATGTTAATTGGTTTTGGGACCATCCAGTGCGTGCTAACCAGCTTGTTTATATTCTTAGACCAAGCTAGATTGCATACCTATCATATGAAAGAAGAAAGATGGTTATAACATTTGGTTTTTAATCGTGAAATCATAAAACTGAATAAGAAATCTACATGACTGCAAGTATTTATGGAAGTTGTCGTTGGACTGGGAAAACATATGCATCTATCAGCAGTCCCACCAACAGAAGAAAGGAGTAAGAAGCTCGCTAACATAAGGAGACAAAGCAATGGCTTTAGAGTGCAGCACCAAACCAAACAATCTTGAGTTAATCTAAGCAAAAAAGATAAATTCTTTCGTAGATGTTTTAAAGGATATTCAAATGTTTGTTTGTGAACCTTGATTTTGCGTCCAAAATTTTGCTTGATCTTCTTGTTCCTGTGTCAAGAAAGCTTCACATGTTGACCCTCTCAAGTACAACTTACAATAATCCTATCCAAGTTTCTGCTCATTTAAAAAAAGTATAGTGTAATCAATAATATAGTTACTGTTTTTTCACTGATAAATATTTGCTTATGATTAACAGTGAAAATAAAATCATGTGCAAAGAGAGATCACCACGATAACCACATCTTTTTTTTTCCACTCACCTTGTTCGCAAACCTTGCGTGTCTATCTCTCTTTCCAGTCCGATAAATCATAGCTTCTACGAATAAAAACACAAGTTATTTCTTTCAGGTTTCATGTTATAAAAGAAACCAAATTCTCATTGGCTTTGAATGAAAGGGTTATAAAAGAAACCAAGACGTAGAGGGTGTACCAAACATTGCAAGAGAAACAAAAGCTTTTATTGCTTACAACTATATTTGGTTGAGAGTGATTCTTGAGAAGTCTCTTGAATATGAGTTTCAATAAGCCGAAGTAGGAAAGTCATGAAGCAATCAGCTTCTCTATCTCTGTCTTTATCACCCATTTTGTTGTCTTTCTTCATGGCTGTTAAAAATTCCGTTTCAAGTTATGAGATTCCTGCTTTGAAACGAATGTCAAAGGCTTTATCAAAAAGTTACATAAGAACCCAAATGTATTAATATGCAACTCACATGATAGAATAATATCAAAATGCCTGATGTTGTGAAATAATATGCCCACGCCCAACCTAATCCACATAGAAACATCATTGAGTGTTTTCACTTCTCTT